TTTTTTTTTTTTTTTTTTTTTAATCTGTTTAAAAATCAGCAATCCAGAAAACTATTTAGATCTTCTGTGAATACTGCCAAAAATATGCAATTCTTGCTCTATTATACAGAACTCACTGAGTATTTATGGCTTTCAAATAAATGTTCCTTTCTCATTACATCAGGACAACAAAGTAATGACTGTACTGTGACAAACAAAGAGTCTACCTAACCTAATATCCTGTCTTTGGCAGCCAACAGTTGGGGAAGAAGTTRACATTAAAGAACTATAAATTATGCTATTGCAAAGTATTCTCAAAAACTTCACTAACATGCACATCAGGGACTTCCAGAATAAGGGACAGTGTCTCTGCCTTTAGTAATCCACTACAGATTTCTCTACCTGATATGTTATCTTGAATCTTGTATCCTTTATCCTGAAATGTAACTATTGATTCTGATRATCATTCATATTCAAGTGATTTTCTATATAACTGTACCTATGTTGGAGCAAACATTAAGATTGTGCATTTCTCTCAAATTTGTGTGGAACACCTGAGGATGGATTAGATATTTCTGTCATGGTAGATTGACGAAGAGCTGCAGCAGTTGCTTCACATCTAGATACACATAAGGGAGTACTATATAACTTCGAAAATGTGGAAGATAGGAACTTTCCTATGAAATATAGAAGTGAACCTGAGACTCCTTCCACCATAGCATAGTATCTGTCTGTGAAAGTAGTTTTTCTGTTTGCTACRGAATAGAAAAATCTCCACTCTGCTCATGCACCATTCATCTACTGTTTGCCCTGGTATACATCCTTATAGATTGCAAGACACACCACAAAATATATTAATTTTTTTTCAGATCAGATCACAATGCAGACAGCTTACTTATATTAAGTAAAAAGAGGAATAAAGAAGCTCTCTTCAAAGGTAGTCCTATAGCATGTTATTACTGTTGAAAATGATAGTACGCGTGCTTATTCTCTTATCAAAAAGAGAGATACAGATCTAGCAGTYGTGGTACTGTTAAAGAAATTTGTACTATGAAAGAGAGAGAGAAGCTTTCTCTGCATTGGCAAGTTATCAAGCTTTTTATACTGGAGCTCTGGGAGAACATTACCATAAAGATGGAGCTACAGAATGGATGGATTAAAGCTATAGCTACTTACCAATAACTGTGATACATTTCAGAATGATACTGTTCATTTCCCATGAGAGTATCTCTGGTAACGGTACATGAAATTCCATAGCTCTTCAGAACTACATTTTCCCTAACCACTGTCTTTCATGGAAGTCTTTACTCAGCATGAATTAGGTACAAGTTGGTGAATTCATCAGGTTCTTAGGGATGACTTGACTGTTCTGCTGTATGCCTTACTACTAACATACAGAACAAAAACCATCAGTGTCAAGATGAAGGCAGTTGAGATTTTTCATACCAGACCTAACAGGTTTCTATAAGGGGGAACAGAGCCCCTTGAACACCCATCTAAGAATATCAGCTTCTTACTTTTTCTATTTTGGATAAAACTTTGTACTGACAAAACCATAGGTCAAGTTGGGACAGAGCACTTACCACATATTTGCACTGGACAATGAGCTACAGCCCCTCACATTGCTGCTTAGATCCCATCCTCTATTTTCAGTCAGTAATGAAAACTGCTGTTTTGAGCAAGAAATCACCTTATTAAGGTAGAAYAGGAACTCTTTGGCATTGCAGAAAGAGTCCAGTGTTTCTGACTCTGCCACAAAGACTACAAATATACATATATATGTATATAAAAATACACATGGAAAAGGAGCATTCCAGGTACAGACATACATTCCAGGTACAGGTGACCCTTGAGTGGCACTGTGTTCTGGACCAATAATCGGCATYGTCCCTTCTGGCTAATACTCTATAGAGTCCATGAAGGCTCTACAAACTGAGCTGTCATTGAAGAAAGTGAAGGTCTGAATCAATTAGTTTCTCCTAACACTTTGGTTTTAGATGAGGTGCATCTCTATTATCTTTATTAGGAGCATGCCCCTGGAACTCTAGAATCCTGTGGGACAATGAAGTTTGGAGTGTAGRCTATGCTCCATCAGCAAAATTCTCGGCAGAACTAGTCATCATCACCTGCTACGAAGGACCTTACCCTACTTGTCTGGAATGAGGCTCGGAGGTGAAGCCACTTCACAGAATCACAGAATGTGCTGAGCTGGAACGGACACACAAGGATCATCGAATCAAACTCAACCCCGTAAAGGACATAATCAAGAATCATATCATGTGCCTGAGAACGTTGTCCAAGCGTTTCTTGAAGTCTGTCAGGCTTGGTGCTGTGACCACTTCCCTGGGGAGCCTGTTCCAGTGCCCAGCCACTCTCTGGGTGCAGAATCTTCAAGCAGCACGAATGTCTCTCCTCCGCGCACAGTGGCACTCAGCGTAACCGTTTCCGGGCGCCCTCTGATGCGTCACAAGGSTTTCAGCGGAGCTTTCCGAGCCCGCCCTCTGCAGCCGCTCCCGCCGCCCCCGCCAGAGGGCGCTCGCCCTGCCCGTGCCGGGGAGCTGCCGGGCCTGCGCAGGAGCGGCGGTGGCCGAGCGCAGGCGCGGGGCCGGGGCGGGAGCGGCGGCGGCTGCTCCGTCACGGGAAGGGCGGAACGCGGCGGCGGCGCCGGTTTCCTCCGTCGCGTCTCGGCGACTGCAGYGCCCGCGGCCGGGCTCGCCGGTGGCCCGGGCGGTGGAGGAGGGATGGCGTACTTCGTGGAGAGCTTCTGGGTAGGGCAGCGCCGCGGGGCGGAACGGGCAGGGCGCGGCACGGGGCAGCCGCGGTCCCCGCTGCGAGAGCAGCCTCAGCATTTACGCCACCCCCGGGACTGGGCCGGGGCCTTGCGGCCGGGGTTCGTGTCCGCTGCGCTCGGCGCGGCCGGACTGGGCCGCGGTGGAGTGGCGTCTCTGCAGTCCGCGGCGGGGCAAGGGGATCGCCGGCCCTGCCCGCCGCCGGGCTCGGGCTCCGCGGTGGAGAGGCGGCGGGAAGAGGGATGGGGTGGGGTGGGGTGGGTTAGGATGGAATGAGATGTATTGGGGTGGAATGGGATGGAATGGGGCCCTGGGCCGAGGGATGCGCGGACACCAGGTTCCRTGCACGGGGACCTGGCGCTCACACGCAGCGCGGTGCCGTGGGTTGACTTGGGCTGCAGTGGGTCTTGCTGCTGTTCGGGGGATCGGCGCGGACTGCAGCAGCTAAACATTTGTGTCACGCAAAGGCAGAGCCGCGCCTCGGCGCTCCGCGCTTTTGTACAGGTACCTCGTCTCCGTGTGCCCATGAGAAGGTGCAGCCTGAGCAGCTGCCTGCTTAGAGAAACAACAGGTTTTCTAGCTTGCTTTGGACCTGCCATCTTACAAGTCTTCCGTGGGCACATGTCTGTTTTTAAGTGGGTAGATACATATGGATAAAAAGTTAAATTACGAATTTGTATTGAGTTTGGTGTGAAATGCAACTAGTTTTCATTGTGACCGCTTCTAGTTTGAAACTTTTTAAGTGTTTTCTTAGTCACCGGWTTGTTTACAAAGTTGCTAATTCTTTACATGTATAATTTTTTACGTGMCTATCTACCAAATAGTACGGGAAATGTAAAAATTGTTATTTGTTGAGACTGAAGTGAAAAAGAGATACAATGTCTTTTAGATGCTTGCTTTTTCAATGTAAGCAGCACTTACGTTTAAAGTTTAGGAAAAACTAATTTCACAATTACATTGTTGAATATAAGGTATAGCTCAAGTTTGTTTGCAGTCTTGTGTTTAGACTCTTAAGTTTTGCTTTCTACATACTATTAAAATTTAATGCCCCAAGATACCTAATTTGSTCTCTTGGCATACAAATCTGGTTAATTTGAAACCTCAATGTGGGAGATGGGTATTAAACTAATATATGGAAGAAATTTATCTTTCATTAAAATAAGATTAAAATTAATATTAAAAGTTTTGATGTCATTGAAAAAGCTTCTATCATCTCCTGACACAAAAGTAAAATAGAAGTAGTTTATTCAGCTATTGCAACTGAAACTGAACGCTTTTTTATTAAGCTTCATTATGTACTATAGTATGTTCAAGTGTCTGATCAGTTGTATTTYGTTTTATTAATTAGACAGTTATATTGGTAAAGGCAGTGGGCCATTCCCATACATTCTGTTTCCCTTGTCTACGTCTTCACAAATGCTTCTAGCAAATGAGGTAGTGGGCATATCCCCCAAATTCCCATTCTGTGTTTTTGCTTTATAGAGCCTCTGCCTTATAGCTTTGTTGGCAGAACCTCTAGTGTGGGTTATCAGTGAGTGCCATGAGAAGGATGATTCTTTCTGTCAGTACCTTCAAAAATGACTCAAGGGAGAACAAGAAGTTTGTTTTTCTTGTTTGTCTTGGTGATGACAGAGACATTAGATAGTATCTTAATTTGCCAAACTTGACCAAGAAACTTTTGTAATACCATAGACAGAGTTTTGCTTTGGATGGAAGTAAAATTGAAAGAATAGGAAATGCTCATTCTTCACTGCTCTGAGTGTATATTTTTCAATATTAACTGTAGTGATGGATTTGTGAAATCTGAAAGTACTGAGTTGCTATATATCCTCAGAACTAGGCATAAATTATAGATTGATTTTGAATTATTAGTCATCTTTATTTGTACTAACATTTCAGAATAGATTATTGTTCAGAAWTGCTGCTGCTTTGAAAGAAAAGGAGAGTGACATATATGTGAGTTATCAATTTCTTACATTCTATTTAAGCTACTGTCTTCCTAGATGTGCTTCTGCAAACACATCTTACCTTCTTTGTTATAACAGTCTTGAAACTTGAAATCCTGAGTCTTTCCYCTTGTGCTGCTTTTGGAAGTCTTGAAATAGTTACACTTTTTGATTTTATTGTTGTTAGAGGATGTAAGAAAATTGCATGTTTTATGAGCCTGCCATCTCTTGACTGCTTTGTAAGAGGTAAGTGAGAGATATATAAGGCTGTTTTCTGGATATGTAAGGCTGAAGTACAGAGACCTCTGCTGTCACTTTAAAAATTTACTATCTCTTGAAAAATGTGGGGGTCTACTGATGGAGCACAACACTTTAGAGCAGCAGTTTTCCAAGTCAGGGGGATACTTTTGGGTATCAAAAGTTATGAACTAGTAGTAGTAGCTATACGTGGCTTTGATTCTTATGACAGGCATTCGAGTCACATGGCCAAATGTTCCCAACTCCTAATTAGGATTTGTCATAAAACATTGTATGCTTGCTGCTATATATGTGCTACATCAAAACAATGGTGTGATTTAAAAGTAACACCATCATAAACTATTTCCATTAAATACAGCTACGCTTTGGCACTTTGAAAACAGTATTACTGGTATAGTAGTATAGAAAGTATTCTTTATCATTGTCTTACTGTTTCTTTAGCAGAAAACATTGTTTAAACTTTGACATTGTGTTTAAACTGACCAGCGCAGGTGATTCTTTGGCGTAGTTTAAAATAATTGCTATTAACAAATAAAAATAAACCTCTTCCAAACCAGTCAGTGGTTGTTTATAAATAGTTTAAAATTAATTTGATTTAAATATTGGGAGTTCTATGAATAACTGAAGTTTGTTTCTGTGTAACTCTGTACTTGGTACTCTGGATGTTCTGGTACATAAAAACATGTATAAATTCGACACATGTATAAATTTGACAAATTAATTTTATTTTTATTTTTGACTGGTTGCTTGTAGCTTTTGAGAATGGCTGTGTGAAGGTTCCTTTCCACACACACACACACACACCCCCCCCCCCCCCCCCAAAGACTTGTGGCCATAATGGCTGGCAGTATGCCAATTTAATAATTGTAGCTATGTGAAGAAGGTTGCTCTGTTAAGGATAAGATATCTTGTCTTACAAACTGGTGTGAGTGTATGAGTGACACTGAGACTTGTCACGCTGACATCTGGTGTTCCATACATATGTTTATGCAGCACAGCTCTTCTGCTGGGCATAGAGCTGGAGGTTCTCTTTCAGGASAGCTGTTGTGCAATATTTGCTTTGTCTCCTCCCTCTGTATGTGTGCATCTAGCATGAGTTGGCAGCTTTCCATCTGTTTGTTAACAAATATTTTTCATTACCTATATATTGATGAAAAATATCTGTCCTTCCTCATATGCATAGAGCTTCTCTGGAGCTGGTCTTTATTTAATATGTTGAAACTGGAAGAARGAAACTGAAGTTGACAGGTTGCTTTTTTGTCCAAACTTCTCAAAACTTTCAGAACTGAAGAAGATGCAGTACCTGCATAAGCATCAGGTGACTGCTTTTCTTTCGTATTTCAAGGCTTTCAGTTTTCTACAGCTCTTTCAGACACTCTTTTGAGATTTACTGACAGATAGCTTTCAAATACATAACACTATAATTTTAATCATATGAATGTTTTTATGTATTCAGGGCCCATTAAATAATTTTCTAGGTAGAAAACATGAAAGATTTGCCGTTTATTTGAAACTGCAATGAGGATTAACAGTTTAAAAAACATGGCAACAATGTTTGTCGGAGCACCTAAAATAGGTTTAGATATCTGTGAATTTAATATCTGACCAGTCATGGTCAGAGTCACTATAGAATAATTTGAATATAGAATAGAATAAGAAATATGAAATATTTCTTATATGAAAATAGAATAATTTGTTTGTACAGGTAGGTAGACAGTGATATAATAGAGTATAAACTTTTTACACTAATAGATGCTATTGAACAGTTTTGAAACAAAGGAGACAAAGCTTGCACTCAAACAATTTGATAAACATAGAAAATAAAGGCTGCTGCAGATTGCCCAGAAATTTCTGGCTATTTTGCTACATGGAGATTTTAATTTCAGAATTATTTTTATTGCAGCAAACAAATTTATTCTTAAAAACTTGAAGTATTTTCAGTAATTCAGTAGAACAGAGTTCCTGTAATCTGTTTCCTGTTATGCACAAGTCATGGAAATGCTGATTTCTGACTACACATTTGCTGACAGGGCTACTTTCATTTCCATAAGGAAATCATTGCAACTAGTTCTTGATGAAGGGAAATGGAAGGACTGGTTGCTCTTGCCTTCCACAATTTAATTTGTTTTCTGTACAATGTTGGTTAGTAATGCTTCATTGTAGGCTTGTTTAAGTGTTTGCTTGTATTTGAAGTCTTGTTTTCTCTAGTGRCTTGCTGTCAGGGGACCTCTATGCAGTAGATACAAAAGAGTTTTCTTACAGTAGTACAGAATAGGAAATCTCAGCAGAAACGCACTTTCTGAGGATAGTTTTGTTAGCTCTGAGGAAGAAAGAGAAAACTTGATGAATGAACTTCAAAGTAATTAAATGATGCCTATATGGAGAGGCACTTACATTTTGAGTTCTCATTCACAGTTTTACAGTTGTTTACTATTGAGTAATGACAGGATCACCCTCAACAAATGGTGGATTCCCTGCAAAATAACATTCAGAATGGTCTTTCAAACTGATCTGGAAGTTGTTGTATGGAACCTCATTTTATATGTAACAACTGAAGATCATTATTCTCCAGCATGCAACTTGTAAAAAAGAAGAATCTGCATCTGACTTCACTGTCGTGCCAGTGGATGGTAATTACTTTTGAATGGGAGTAGAATGTTTCATCAGTTCCCTCCACTATGTGCTGCATTAATTTCCATGTACAGAATTCTATACAGTATACAGTGTGGGAAGAAGTGTTGAAAAAAAAACCAACCAAAACATGATCAATGTTGATGGCATATGTRCATGTAAGAGGATAAATACATGGCTTTTGTAGATTGAGCGACCTTTTTCCTTAACCACCATTTCATACATCTGTCTCATTATCCTAAATACAGAGCCTTAACTCTGATGGATTCTCTTCATGAACRTAGCTACTCAATGGAGAAGTTGTGGAGAGGTTGTATAGCATTTTCTAAAGGAGAAAAACATCTGCTGTCTATATTGAGATATCATAATTAATTTGGTTTCAGTAGACATATGTCTCCAAGCGTGAGYAGAATTGTCATCAGGTTAGTGATCAGAATTGTTGGTCCTGTAAAGAGTTTTGAAGTCTAGATGTTTTTCTTTTTAGATAGAGCCTGGTGTTAAGATAGGTTATACTTTATATTTACCACATTATATTTACAAGTGAAGATGTCTTTTCGTTGTGTCAGACTTAAACCACACAGGCCCTCAAATCCAGGAGCCTCCTTTCAAYTTGCTGATTTGTTTAAACTTTATATTTTGCATGTAGATTCTTAACTTCTAATAACTGTTGATAAGGTATAAGAGATGAGGCTTTCAGGGGACTTTTAATGRAGGAAAGTATCTGTTCCGTTTTTCTGTCATTCTTTCCACTGTTCATTGTGAMGTCAGCAAAAAGAATATAACTGATTAGAAAACCTAATTTAAGTGGAAAAATTATTTCCTTTGCAGTAACCTTCAGTTACAWTTAGGGAACAAGATAATGATGGGAGTTGGTTGCTCCAGCTCATTCCATTCTCTAAAGATTTCCACGGTTACATTTCTGATGGTTTATCAGGAAGCCTGCAGCCAGAGGCTGGGTCATGGCTATACATCCTTCCTGCATTTTTATATTGGTAGGAAATTTATGGAACTCCAGGGTARAAAAGGCCCCATTAAAAGCTTCCATTATGAAAAGTTTAGAAGCAGCTTATGTTCAGCACATCTAGATCAACATGCYGTTTTAGCTAGAAGAAGCACCTTATAGCAAAGAACATTTCATAAAGGAGAATTTTATTAGTTTTCCTAGAAGAAGTACCTAACACTTGTAAATGTTTATCTGTACATTTGGGTATGGTAACAATTTTGGAGTAGTTAAATAAGAATAATATTCTGTATTCTAATTGAAAATGCCAGTGAAGTCTTAATATAATGCAGTGGCATTCAGGGTTTATATTGAGTAACTACATAAGGTTAATAAGTTAGTGCACAGGTATTCAAAGTTATTGTGGGTTTCAAACTACAAAGATGAATGTTTAGATAGAGGTGAAAGGGGAGAGAAACTATTTAGACTGGTACTTGAGTAGGACAACATTTAAATGAAGTTGCATTTTCTACTAATTGTTTAGTTCTACAGTTCTTACCCTTCTTTTACTTTTCAGACTGTAAAAGCCTTGCTCTGTAGAGAATCTTTTAGAGTTTGCTGTCATTTCATGTGTTCAATTTAGTTCTGCTTGTACTTTTCACAGACTGAATCTGAATCTTGGTGCCCTTTTTCAGGTTACAGCTTGCTGTGGCCATGGAAACTATGATTTTATAGGGKTTTTTTTTCTCTTTAGTTTCGTTTTTCCCAGTGCTTGGAAGAATTAAAGCAAATAATCCTGAGTAGTAATCTGTATCAAATTGCCTTCAGTTATCTGTTACTTGTAAATTTATGTGTCTGTGTGTGGTGTCCTTTAAGGCAATTTGAAACTTAATGGAAGTGGGCTTAATACCGTGGCTGCCGTGAAGTTTTTCCATCCACCCATGACTACTTCTTATTTAAGAGGGCAGATCCCTGCATGCCTTCTCCTTCTTGCTCCCTCCTCTTCTGCTGAGCAATGCAGCTTGTTTGTGTCCTTSCAGTGATCTGGATCAGTGACTCTTGTTTTTAGCTTTATTTTTCAGCTGTATAATTTTCTTGATAAGGTTTACCTTACAGCTGCACAAACAAATTTTTGTAGAACTGAACAGACAGAAAGGTTTGGAGGGGTGTATGGCCAAATTCTTAGGCTTCTCACTGGCAATATAGAACTACCTTTGTTAAAAGTCTGGGATTTTAAGAAAGAAGTGAAAATACTTGAATGCATTCAGAGGAGGACAACAAGGCTGGCAAGAGTGCTGGAAGATGTATCTTGTGAGGAACCACTTAAGACATTAGTTTTATCTGGTTTGGAGTAAAATGAGGGTGAAGGATGATCTCATTGCTCTCTATAACTTCCTGAGCAGGGAAAATTCAGAGGGTGATGCCCATCCCTTCTCCCTGGGAAMTAATGATAGGACATGTAGGAATGGTTGAAAGCTGTGCCAGAGAAGGTTCGGGTTATGCACTAGGAACCACTTCTTTACTCTGGGAGAGTGGTCAAACACTGAAATAAGTTTTGTAGACGTGGTGGTGAATGCCCTCAGCCTGTCAGTGTTTAAGGGGCGTTTTGACAATTCTCTATGACAATGATTTAACTTTTGGTCAGCCCCAAAGTGCTCAATCAGTTGGGCTAAAAAGGTTGCTGTAGATCTCTTCCAACTGAAATAGTCTATTCCATTCTATGCTACCCCACCCTGTTCTTCTTTGTCTTCTACTCTGAACATGTGCTGAGAGCACACTCTGCGGCTTTTATAGGAGCAGCATTATGGATCTGAAGTTTTTGTAAAGGAGGAGGGGAATTTATAGTCTGACAGGAAAACTTTTATAGTAGCAGTGCTGTTGTGCTGTGCCTTGCCTTCCTTTTATTTCTGTTGTTGCTTTTCTGCTGTCAAGAGGAAGTTCATCATAATGCCAGAGGTCATAATCTGGCTGAGTTTATTAATCAGTGCTTAGAGCGGTGTCTTGGTTGTAACAGTGAGGTATGCCTTACTCACTGRAAAATGTTTTAAAATTAAACTTAAGAATGGAACAAAGAGAAGCTACTAGTGAGAAGGAAAAGAGCTGTGATTTTTTTTAACCAGTTTTACAAAAAACAGGGGAAGATAAATGAAGTGTGAAGGATTGAGGAAGGAAGTAGGATATCCAGTAATCCCAAAGTGTGAATTTTAGTTCATGAATAATAATGAAAGATATTAAAGGATGGAGAGTACAGTATTTAGTATGTGTTCAATATGGTGGGAAGTGAAAGACTACAAGACCCCTAGTAATCTACAAAAGAAATATCTTTGGCTATAGCCTAGAAATATGTAATGGAAAGGTAGTGGTAGCAGCCATGGTAATTTTGGTTTGGTTTACATATGGGTTTTTTTTTACATTTGGTTTACATATATATATGRGATTAATGGGAACTAAAAACAATTGGAAAAAAAGCAGAAACATTAGAAATAGATCACTTCCTAATGAAGTGATTAAAATGAAAAGCGGTTTTTAAAATGCATAGGTTCAGCATGTTGTGTTTCATAGTCCTACTTTTGTTTATCTTTAGGGAGAAAGGAACAATGGCTTTGATGTCCTCTAYCACAATATGAAACATGGACATTTGTCAACWAAGGACTTAGCAGATTTTATCAGAGAAAGGTAAGTATTCATTGTATATTTTTCATGTAGTGTTTGTGGGTTTTATTTTTTATTATTGTGTTTAACAGTAACATGCAAAATATGTAAATAAAAGATATAGAAATCTATTATCAGTATTTGTTATTGGTCAAGTACTGAAAAAACTGAGWGCCTGTTGGATCTGTGGTTTAGAAGTTTGTCAGCTGAAGGAGAGAGTTTTCTGGCAGGCAGTCTGCTCAATGTTGGTAAATTTTGAGTGGGACAGGTTATCTGCTGAAAGTAGATACCAGTTCTCAGAATCATCAGATCATAGAATGGTTTGGGTTGGAAGGGATCTTGAAGATCATCTGCTTTCAACCCTTCTGCTGTGGTCAGGGACACCTTTCACTATTGCAGATTCGTCAACGTTCCATCCAACGTGGCAYCGAATAAAGGCCAAGCTTTTTTGATAAAGCATGTAGAAATTTTTATTTTTTGAAGAAGTGAAAATAAGGTTGAGCTGCCTGCACRGCTGTTTTTTCTTTAAATATGGGGAAGATTTTGTAGGTGAGCTGTCTTGTGTTTGTGTGCATTTAAAATCTAAACTGTTTCTATCGAAGAAATTACTCTGCTTATCTAGGAAAGAAAGAAAGAGGTACAGGAATGTGTTGGCTTTTCTCTAGGAGTCTTTCTAATGTATTTCTGCATCAATTGCCTGTAAGCATCATAAAAAGAACCTTCTAGATCAGATGAAACTAGCAGTGCATCTAGTGAAACCATATGTTTCCATTTAACTTCTAAATATTTAGCAGATCCCAAGCAAAGACACCTGTTCAAATGCATGAAAATTAATTTACGAAGAAAATGATGGTCTATTACCTGTACAACAGAGTGCTCTGCAAAGTCAGTTGATAGGACAAATGTATTAACTGATCATCTTTGGATTCTTAGTGTTTTTAACTGGTGTATGTGACTGTTCCATGGGGAATTGTGGAACTCCAGTTTTGTGGAGATAGTTCAGGGAAGTACGCTGTGAATTGCTTCAAAGAAAAGGGATGTGGATTTTGGTGTTTTAAAAATTGTGAATTCTTGTGTTTTAAAAATAAAGAGGAAAAATAGAGCACTGAGGTATAAAATCTGGGAAATATTTGGATGATTAATAAAAATATATTGTAATGGTAATAAAAAACCCAAAACATGGTCTATGCTTGGTRCATATGTGCTTGCTGCTGTGCAGTGTGCAAGACTTCCAAGCTGTGGAAATCTGAA